TTTCCCCCTGAAACGTTTCCTAACGGACTGCTCAGAAGTGTCAGAAACTCTTTCAGTGAATTTATTTGGAGCTGAAATGACAAAATTTGAAGTATGAGTGTGTCTGAACTTTCACACAATCAGATGGAAACCCATTCATCAGTTTACTGGTATACAGTAATACAGTTCCAGGCTTGGTGTAGGTTCATCTTACTTGAGTAACTCAAATCAAGTGGCTGATTTCCATGAAAGTGAAAGTGTGTATTTGTACTTTTTGAAAGGAACATCAGTACATTCTGTTTAGGTTCACCATGATGTGCAAGAAAAGCACAACACACCAATCTGGGGAGGGGGCCTCGGCCTTCATCTCATCAAGTCTGCCTCCTCTGTGAAAACTTGAATTTATGTGTCAATAATCATATGCAATCATATGCTTGGCTGAAAAGATTCATTAGAGAGGTGGCTCTGATGAACAGCCCAGGTTATTTTGAATCAGTTTACAGTATAATCCACTCAGTGTCAATACTGTTTTCCATGGAAAAACAAATAAGAAAATGAAAACATATTCAAATAATCAATACAGTCTGTTGATCAAGTGTACTGATGTCCATCTGAAAGAATATAGATTCGTTTGTTTTCATGTAGACCAGCTTTGATTTCCGACAGTGGCACCATAATTAGGTAAGATGCGTGAAAAGTGATCATGTTTACAATGATTGGGCTTCAAGTTACAATTCCTCTCTGCGTCGATTAAACTGCTAAATGCGTTTTTTAATTATTTAATTGTTTGTTTGGTTTATGAAATGTCAGAAAATGGAGAGAAATGACCATAGTCCGAGGTAGCGTTCTCATATAGCCAGATATATCCAGTTCACATCAAATAGAAGAGAGAAAAGCAGCAAATCCACAACTAAGAAGCTGGAAATACTGTTTTTGTACTTTCAATGTGTTCAGAAAGTGTTCAGACCCCTTCACTTTTTTCATATTTTGTCATGTTGCAGCCTTAGGCTAAAATTTAAAAAAAAATCCTCTCATCAATCTACACTAAATATTCCACAACGACAAAGCGGAAACAGAATTTTAGAAATTGATTTATTAAAAAAGCAAAACTGAAACTGTATCAGTATTCAGGCCCTTTAGTTGAAGCATCTTTGGCAGCGATTACAGCCCAAAGTCTTCTTGGGTGTGATGCGACAAGCTTCGCACATCTGGATTTGGGGATTTTCTGCCATTCTTCTCTGCAGATCCTCTCAAGCTGTGTCAGGTTGGATGGGGACTGTTGGTGGACAGCCATCTTCAGGTCTCTCCAGATGTATGATGATGGTATCAGGCAGGTGTTGAATGGTGCCTGGTTTCCTCCACACATGACACCAACAGTTCAATATTGGTTTCATCAGACCAGAGAATCTTGTCCTTTTAGTTGCTTCTTTTCAAACTCAAAGTGGCTTTTATGTGTCTTTTAGTGAGGAGAGGCTTCCACCTGGCCAGATCGGTGGAGTTATGGTTGGCCCTCTGGAAGCTTCTTCCATCTCCACACAGGATCTCTGGAGCTCAGACTGACCGTCAGGTTGTTGGTCTCCTCTCTTACCGAGGCTCTAGAGTCCTAGCTGTTCCAAACTTCTACCATTGAAGAATAATGGAGGCCTCTGTGTTCTTGTGAACCTTCAGTGCATCAGAAATGTTTTTATTGTCTTCCCCAGGTCTGTGCCTCGACACAATCCTGTCTCCTCCTCATGGCATGGTGTTTGCTCTGATGTGCATTGTCAGCTATGAGACATTTTATATAGACAGGTGTGTGCCTTTCCAGATCATGTCCAATCGGCTGACCTGACCACAGGTGGACTCCAATCAAGGTGTAGAAACATCTCAAAGATGATCAAGAGAAATGGAGGCACCTGAGCTAAATTTCAGCGTTATAGCAAAGGATCTGAACCCTGATGTCAATGGGATATCGTGTGAAAAAAAACTGAAGGGGTCTGAACACTTTCTGAATTCTCTGTAGATTATTATGATTAAAGGATTTTCAAAATAGGCTATCATTTCATCTGGAGGCCAACTGGGCAGCTGCTTCCCCCCCTACACTTTAAACAGCCAGCGTAAAGTAGAGCCTTTTGTTGAGGTCGTTTTCAACAATACGAGATGATATGCATATGTGATGTATCTAGAATGTAATCTACTCTGAGTGAGTTTTAATAATGCACCCTCCCGCAGAGCTGCCATTAAACCCAATATAACCTGAGTCAGATTTACAGCAAGATCAGTGAACACTACAGTTGTCAAACACTTCAGTCATCTACCGAAAGAAAAGCCATTTCACAAGACGAAGAGATATGTAATCACTAATCACATTTGCCAATAATTATTCAGTTAATCAATGCAGTAAATTAGTAGGAACCATCAGCATTTTTTCCTCCAGCGTGAAGTTGACTTGATAGATTCTTTTCTTGTCAGACGTTGGCACACTCCCCCGGCCGGAGCGCCCGGTCTGCCTCTTTGTGTCATCTTTCATTTCCTTTTCACCCCCAGGTCTTTCTGTACCTGTCAATTTCTTTCTACAGTGTGACTCCTTAATCCACCTGAGTGCATGGAGGACAGTTTTGACATAAGAAGAAAAGATAGACTCCTAAGGAGAGGACCAGTATCTTTAGAGCCCGGGGGATAACCGGATTACGACAGCCATTTTGTGCTGCTGGCAGTTTTTCTTATTACCCGTTTCCCCCCACCCTCATCTCTCCAGAGTTGAAATGCTGCCCTTTCTTAGAAGTCAAACCAAACACTGACAAGTACACAACAAAACACATACTCTCTGTTTTTTCCTCAGCTGAAAGTTTTTTGTGCAGAATAAAAATAAAGGAAAAACAGATCATTTCGTCAAACTGCCCTTCCTGTCATGTTGTTGTTCTCGGACAGTTTTTCTCTGCGCTGCTGTAAACTCTCTAAAACATGGTCCCTCTGTGGAAGTAATCATTGTCTCTGTGTGGTGGTGGGGGCCTCCTGTGTGCCAGGCCTGAACCTACAGCACGGTAGATAACAGCACAGCTATGAGGAGACAGATCAGCTGTCTGACCCCTGCCGTCAGTCACTTTATCCCTCCAGCCCGTCTGCTCCGAGGAAACCCACAGAAAAACACTCTCTGAAAACATCTTATCATCGCCACCACTGACACAGTGCGCACCACTGGATCTTCTATGTCCATTTATTTTGCCTTTGAAGAGGCCCACGGTGCCTTTGATTGTGGGAGGTAAATGAAATAAAGGCCTCCTCCTCGCCTGATATCTAAGTTTATCGCCGCTACCAAAACCTAAACTCGGAGCTTCAACCGACTGCCACAGCTCTGTCTACGGAGAAACACATCATGCCTCTGTCATGGTAATAATCCTTTTTGCAGAAGCCATTTTGGGTGCCTTTGAGGCGGCCTGGAAGCTCCCACTTAGACACCCAGAGAGTCAGTATTGAATTCCTCCTTGTAAAATGAGCTCCCTGAGTATATACTCCATATACAGTAATCCCCTGTTATTACCTATGAGCACCTGAGTACACATACAGTACACTGCGTATAGTTCATCGGTAAGTTATTGCTCAGGCATTTCTCCATCAATGTCATTTCAATAACAGACGAGATGGCTAAAGCACATATTTGATCAGATAAGGTAAAATAATTATGAAAACTGTAACAATCAATGGAGTCACCCAGGGCCAGAGAATTATGGCTGTGATTGGTATTGATTTTGTAGACGATGGAGGAGGGAGAGGTGAGCCACTTGTACACATATTAATATATAAGACACCTGCATGGCATCATGGGAAGGAATTTAAATGAGTCAGTGGCTAAAGGCAAGTTTTTTAAAAAGTAAGAGTGAAAATTGGGAGATGGATGAAGGAATTAAGTTTGGAGTAGAGAACCTACACACATTTTATTTAGTTTTAATGTGGGGTCATATGTAGGGTCATGTCCTCTGTGTTTTTAGAAAGTTACATTCTGCTGTTAAAAACCTAAAGGTTCACTACCTCTCCACCCGTTTTCCACCAGGATTCAGATTTATTCCTTGTAGCCCGGAGAAAGCTCCGAAACAACATTTAGACTTTCATGTTGGCGGAATAAACCAATAACATTTTATTTTGCTGATCTTCAATCTACTTATAATTTCCTTGAACGTTTCCTGGAAAGAACTATGCAGCACAATCTGGTCATTTTAGCTCAATGCTGTTGTTTTTCAGAGGATTTTCCTTGAAAGAATCAATAAAACTTTCGGAAAAAAATGAACAGCTACCTACAAAAAAATCTAAATAAGAACAAAATTTAGAGACTTTCTTTTTCCTGTATCCTGTTGACCTCAGTAAATCTTGGATGCGGCCCTGGTTTAAAGAGATGGTTTCAAATGACTAAAACAAACAGAAACCTCCTCTAACATCCTCTGAAATAGACCTCATTATTGAGCAAATGAGCCATATGGGTCATTATAGGGCTATGTGGAGCTGCAGTGGAAAATAACTTCCATTTAATTAGTAGTTTTCTGCGTATGTTATACAGCAGCTGGCTTTCTCCCCTGGTTCCCTGCCTGCTGGTCTCGGTAGCTTTGGAGAGACTAAACCGCTGGAGAGGAGTCCCTCAGAAATGTTGTACAGTCACTTTTTGTGAAGGGATTACAGTGCGGTCTCTCATTCCCATTGGCCTGGCTCGCCGTGACAGTGGTGTGGTGATGAGTGGCTGACATGCCCAGCATCATCCATAACAAGCTTCCAACTTGGTCCCGTGTGACTCCCATTCATGCGCCCAGGCTTTGCGCTTTGTGTAGTTTTCAGTTCAACTTGGTGCAAGTTCTTCAGTCAATCTGGAATTATAGTTTCTACTTTTTTTTTTTTTTGACAAAGGCACAGAAAATATTTCTTAACTCAATCCATCTTTGATACTTCTTCGTCACTTTTCCTTTTACGCACGAGAGGAGCATGAGCTTTTTGGAGAGGTGACTTCCTTTAAAGTAGGATCGGCGCGTGCTTTAATTAATGTGCCAGTTCCTGAAATGGCAAAACCTTTAGATCACATCAAGAGACCCATGAACGCATTCATGGTGTGGTCCAGAGGCCAGAGGAGAAAGATGGCCCAGGAGAACCCGAAGATGCACAACTCTGAAATCAGCAAGAGACTCGGCGCGGAGTGGAAGCTGCTCTCCGACTCTGAGAAGCGTCCGTACATCGACGAGGCCAAGAGGCTGCGGGCTCAGCACATGAAGGAGCATCCGGACTACAAGTACAGACCCCGGCGCAAACCGAAGAGTCTCCTCAAGAGGGACCGTTTTGTTTTCCCGCTGCCGTCTTTGCTCGGGGAGGCGGCGGAGCACTTGAAGGGATTTTCCATGGACTCCTTTCTCGTCCCCGGGGATAAAGCCAGGGCTCTCCTCGCTCCCGCCTCCTCCTCGTCGTCCTTCTCCCTGCTGGAGCCGGTGGCGCAGTTCAGCACCGGAGCTGTCCAGCGGATGGCGGAGATACCGCACACTCTGGCCGCAGGCTCTCTGCCCTACAGCGCGCACACCTTTGGGTACCAGACCGGTGGGATTGGGGGTCTGGCTTGCCCCGGACAGCACACCCACACCCACCCGTCACCCTCCAGCCCGGGATACGTGCTGCCGTGTAACTGTAACGCGTGGTCTGCGGCCAGTTTACAGCCTCAGGTGGCGTATATCCTCTTCCCTGGAGGGATGACCAAGAGCGGCATGGACTCTTACACTTCACCCAGCTCCAGCGTGTGACAGACTGGAGAGGAAGACGCACGATCGGAGCGCGAAAAGTTTGCGCACATGCAGGACCTCCCCATGTAAACCGACTACAGAAAAAGAACTGGGCTGCAACACACACATTTTCATCCCACAAATATCACAGCAAAACTGTTCACTCGTATTTAATAACCCGTGGGAAAAATTAAAGTGTTTCCGCAGAGATGAAAAACACTTCAAACTGCCACCAACAGCTGTTTGATGATGCGCCCCACTGCTGAGCACCAAACACACGCCACAACACACACTCTCTCACTCCTTATCCCGTGTAAATACAGAGTGGAGACTGTGGTGTGAAGATGCTATTTTGTTACTCTTTTGACAAGAAAATAAATTCAAACCAGTTTTTTCTTTAAAAAAAAAAAGAAAAGAAAAAGGGAGAGTCCCCCTGATCAAATCCAACAGCTGAGGTTTGTGTCGGATGAACATAAAGCTGTTGTGGACATAAGGAAGCCTGCAAGTGTCGAGGTGTTGTTTGGCATGTTTATTTATCCAGGTTTAAAAAAAAAAGACATTAAGTTTAATTTTGTATTTCTGATTCATACATTCTTATATTTGGGCAGTCACACCTGTTTGTCCCCGAGAATATCACCTCTCAGTATACAGGCCCTTTTTTTGTGGAATTAATAAATGTTTCAAAAAAGCATTGCATTATAATTGGTCTTTTTTTTTCTTTGAGACATGTTGTTTTCAAATTAATTTCAGAAAAAAAACATTTAACAACCCAAGTCAGTTGCTTTTCAATGAACAATTGGTTTTTAACGTTTGTATTGGGGATGATCCAGATCACTCATCACCTTAGCTGCAAAAACTTAGTGGTTATCAGTAAGTTCATGTGGGAGCGGTTTGCTGTCAGAGCGGTGTGTTTTCCATGTTTGTGACTGAGCTCTGTTCTTTAAACAAACTGTCTTTTAATCTCCTGATAAAGTACATAACAAAGACTCAGACAAAAACAGAAACTGATATAAATATCATGCAAAAAGCAGAAGTCCATAGAAACTGAACGGACATAAGATGACATTTTCTCTTCCCATCGTGTTTGGTGACTGTTGTATGAGCATTGTAATGTGTGTGTGTGTGTGTGTGTGTGTGTGTTTGTGAGCGAGAGCGAGGCAGGCTGATGATAAGAGAAGAATAGAAACTTCTCTCCTTCCCAGTTGTTGACAAAGTGATAAGGTGGAAAGTTGAATCATATGAGGTAGCTTTTGTTTCACAGTTAGTGAGAGGGAATGAGTCCTCACACTGAAACCACTGTTCTTCAGTCTCAATGTCCTGTAGCTAACCTCCAACAAGACCTGACTGCTGATCATCAGTCCTATATTTGGGTGAAGGCTTTTTTAGAAAACACAGAGCAGAATGCAACAAGTGAGCTTAGCTGGACATGAATTGGGGATGTGGTAATTACAAAGTCAGCATCTTAAAACCTCAGACACCAGGACCAAGTCAGAAGGTTTTCACTTGACACCTTCGCCTCAGGAAAAGAGACTTAAAGATTTAAAGTCCTGAAGCTGTTGAGGTTTCATCTTGCTGAAGAGTCTTTGAGCAAAACACCAAATCTTTATCAGTCCACAGGACCAGGGATGCAGCTCTACAGCTGAGCTTGACCTCTGACCTTTCTGTGGATGTGGGAAGAGGTTGAATGTTACTGCTTTGGCTTGTCATACCTCACTATTAAAGCGGCACTTTGAGGCCTGATATGAACTTTTACATGTTGTGCATGACTGAGAATCCCTTATTGTCACATGTGTTATTTTTTCCCACTAAGTCAGACATGATAAAGTCACACACTCATTTCTGCCTCATCTCTGTGTACACATCTGATGCATCATTTTCTCATCAACACTGCAAATTACACTATAATTTACTCACTGACCAACACTGAAAGCCCGATGGAGTCGGTGATTCAGTTTCCTGTATTTACATTTAAACGGTTAGTTCAGCTCATGTAGGTGCCAGGTGTGCCTATCACCACTGTGTCCACACCTCTCAATACAAGGTAGCCCAACCCATAATACTGTATCACCCACTGGGTGAAACCCAACCGCCTCCACCCAATGCCACCATCACTACAAAGTGCCACTTTGCCCAGTTTCATTCTCTGCCTGACCACCACACACCTGCTCACCTTTGCTTCGACGCATTCTTATATGCAGGTATAGTTCAGGTATTAGGATCTTTAGCTATTTAAACTGGACACAAACCACACTGCGTGCGCACACACACGCACACACACACACACATACACACACGCACGCACATACACTTGTACTCTTTGTGATTTGTGAAAGAAGATCACAATGGCGCCATCAGTTCTGCAGAACGGTGGATTCATTTTGGGCTTGATCGGTGCCGCAGCCCTCATCGCGGCCACGGCCATGAACAAGTGGAGTGTCAAGGACAGGCAGGGGGAAGTGGTGACGTCTGTTTATACCTACAAGGGTCTGTGGCAGGACTGTGAGACAGCGTCCTCTGGATTCACTGAGTGTCGCCCGCTCTATGGCATCCTGGGCTTCTCAGGTAGGACATGACTCTCATATCTATTTAAAGTAGGTTCATTTCCTTGATGTCCTAATAATGAAACATATTCACACTAGTCTCCTTCACTGTCAAGGCCACAGTTTCATGACGGTTTCTTACTGAGGAAATCCAAACAGTCCGGGCTCTCCCATGTCTACGCTTATTCTAACCTACTGTTAGATGTGTGCTGAGCTTTCTCTGATCACAGGAACAGTGACGCAGTGACTAACACAACTTTCAAAAGTTGTAACTAAACAGTTTCAAAAGATGAGGTTTCCAGTATCAGGGTGAGGAGGAGGTTCTTTCACTACCTGTTAAGATGCAAGAGGGCCTAACTCGCTCTTCTCAAATGACAAAACCGGAGGTTTTTAAGCTGCAGAGATGAGTCTCGTTCAGTTTCACAAGTTCTGCAACAAGAAACAACAAATAGAAATATTTTTGTTAGATTTTGAAGCCAAATTAAGCAGAAATTGTGAAGATAAAAATGAGTTTAAAGGGTTAATAAAAGAGACTAAAACACTTTGGAGTGCAAAAGGGGAACTTGAGGCTGATATTGAGAGATTCAAAAAATAAAAAAAAGGAGGAAGAAACCTGTAAGGACTTTATCTCACTAAGGTGTTGAAAGGAAAAATCTAATTATTTCAGACACAGAAAAAGCAGAAGTCTTCTCCTTTGTAGAACTATTAAGAGCAAATTAAAAATATATATATCTCAGTTTCTGGTGTCCTCCTACAAACTCTTGTTCCCATGTCCAGCCCACTCCTATCAGTATTTGCACTGCGTTACAGTGCGTTCTGGTCATTATAATGGACGGCCAGACTGAGAGTTGGTCAACACAGTTATCAGAAACAGAACAAACAACATGCAAAGGGCAGGTTCCTGCAACACACCTACTGCAAGAAAATACTCACCACATTATCAAATGAAATTCACTGGTGATCACATCATCTTCTGGTGAAGCTGAGGACTTTATAAACACTTTCAAATTTAAATACAGGTCAGAGTGCAGATTATTATACAACAGTTTGATTAAAGCATCTTTTTTAAATGAGGATTTAACAGGAAGAATCTTATGAATCTTTATTTTTGTTTGTTGAAGTTGGACATGAATTATTCATTAGTCTTAGAAATATCCAGCTGCTGTATTTTTCTAGAAATTTAAGGTTGTTACTAACCCGAGGGCATTTACACTCTACAATTTCAAAAACTAACACATGGCGTGTTTCAATAGGCTGATTCCAGTATCTTTAGACACAATGTGACCACATTTGATGACTTTTATCACACCAGAGAATAAATCATTCTGTTTTTTCCCCATCAGAACTTAATTCATGTGAATTTTATTTGACACCCTGGGCTCGGGAGAATTTAGACTCATGACTTCAGTATTTTTAAAATCAGAAACATCCAGCTTAGCTTTACTAATGTAACACGTCTGAGTTTTTCTGCCCACTAGGTGCCTTCCAGGCTGTGCGAGCCCTGATGATAGTGGGTGTGGTGCTGAGCGTGCTCGGGGCGGTGATAGCAGTTTTCTCCCTGACATGCCTCACGATGAACAGCATGGAGGAAACCACCAAGGCCAAGATGAGCCTCACGGCAGGAATCATGTTCATCATCTCTGGTAGAAATTTAAATAAACATGAGTAAAGCTAAAAAGGAACATCTGAACTTTTGTCTTTGTTAAACCGAAGCACAGAAATCACCGGTGTGAATCTCTTCATTTCAGCTCTGCCATTTTGTCACTGTGAATCATTAAGTTTCTCACATTCTCTGTGAAGTAAATGAGTGTTTGAGTTCCTGTCTTTGTCTCTGTGTACCCCTCCCTCAGGTGTGTGTGGCATTGCAGGAGCTTCTATGTACGCCAATCAGATCGTGGCCAGTTTCAGATTGTCCACCTACTCCAACTATGGAGGAGGAATGATGCAGGAAGGGTTGGGGTTTGGAGGAGGACTTGGAGGAGGAATGGGAGGAGTACCCACGTAGGATATTACAATTATTATTTTGCTTCTGCTTTTACAATCTCCATATCATTCGCATGCTGGACTTACATCGTGCTTTGCTGAAATGTGTTATCTGTTTTCACCAGATACACGTTTGGCCCTGCACTGTTTATAGCCTGGATAGGAGGGGGCGTCCTGCTTATTGGTGGCATCTTGAAGTCACTGGCTTTCAAGGAAATGGTGAAAGATGAAAAGCAACGGTGAGTCCAACACAGATTTATGTTGATAGAAAGCTCTGCAGAACTGAACGGCTGCTGAAGGCTCTGAACTAGTTTTGGGCCTAATGAAGCTCAGTTATTACTTGCATCACGTCTTTTTCACGTGCTCTGACAGAGGACGCATCGTCACAATAGAATTACCTAAATGCTATGTGTTGTCCTCTTGCCTTTCAGTTACCCCGGGGTTGCTTACAAACCTCAGTCCCGCACCAAGACCGACCCGGGTGATCAGCATTCAGAGGGCGGCAAGAGACAACAGAACTATGTGTAACTTCAACCGCAGCATCCGCACTGACAATTTGTTTTTGCTGAGGTGTGTGATTTTTAGCCATTTGATTCTTGGATGTTTTTTTTTTTTTGGTTAACTCATATACACATTTGATCTTTACTGTCTGATAATGGAAACCTACTGTCTCACATCCAAACAGGCCCAACAGATGTAATAAAAAAAAATTAAAAAAAAGAGTTGTGGCAAAATATTTAGTTTTCTTACTGGTCACGAGATATTTATAAATGCACAGAGACTGTATGTAATTGAAGCTTCTTTTTTTTTTTTTTTTTTTTAAACTTCATTTTGTTTTTGTTCAATCATTTTATTTTTATGTTTGGAAATAAAACACTGATTTCTGAAATACGTGTCAAGTGGTTCCAGTTACTCTGTAAATGTCATAAATGATGCAATTCATGCAACATGGATGTACCAGCTCCTGAGCACCAACAGGAAATTGCTGTTTTAGGACGAATGAGTGAAGGCGTTTCAACGAGTATATATTCATCTGTCAACATCACACTTTTTTTTAAAAATTTTTCATGTGTAGTCAAGTAGCAGCAGTGATTTACTATATTTAAACTGCTTATAGCACTTCTCCTCTGACAGAAGCTGTCAACATGGAAGGTAGAATCTGAACAGTCTGACTGTTGCACTTGCCTTTGCTTATGGAGACTGGAAGCTGTGTGGGAGTAACAGGGTGAAAAACGCAAGAGATGATGGATCTGTGCCAGTGTGTCTCTTGAGGTGATACACAGTATTTTTGTAGTCCATCCTACATTTTCATGCTGCATATTTCTGTACTGGAAACAAGCAATCAGATGGTTTCGGGTGCAGCCTCCCCTTCAGAAGATCTGCTTCTGCATTTGAGGTTTTTTTTTAAAGATAGTTTCAGAGAGCCAAAAAGCCTTTTCTTCATAAATACAGGCATAGTGATACTTCAGTTAGATATCAGATATATCTTTGGCCTAGCTTCAGGGATGTTATGAGTGCTTTTTTTACGGGTGTTTCTTTAGTTAATCCAATTGGATGTTTGACCCTCACTGCACAGTGATGTAGATTCAGATTTGGGTGAGGGCTCTGTTTTTTCAATAAGATATAATTTAGAGAATTTTTAAATAATGTATTTGAACTTATTTTGTAGGAAGAAAACCAAATAAGACACAAATAAATATACATGTCTTAAAACATGTCTGGAGGGCATCTTCAAGGTTACATCCAAAATTAGCAACCCAATGACTAAGCTTGTTTCTGAGCTCATCTTGTAAACCTGCAGGCAATGTGCCCCCCAAACACAGCACCGAGCTGCAATGCTGTTTCACACCACTAGATATCAGCACACCCATGTCTTTGGTTTCAACTCGGTCTGAAGTCTGCCACTTAGAGAGGAGTCGTCTGTTCAGGGATAATGAGATTCTGTGGCACTTTCCATGAAATTAAATAGTGCACTATTGGCAGAGAGACCATCAGAGACTTTGTTTATTGTTGCATATTTAAACCTCCACCTCAAAAACAAGCGTCCAAAACAAATCCAGTTTCTCTTCAAAGCAGAAGATGCAGAAAAACACAAATATACATCAGACCTCACATCCCAACACTGGTTTACTGTGAGGTCTTCACTAATATGTGTCTCAGCAAAAACATCTGCATGTGGAAAGAAACTAAGGTCCATTCGGTCTTGCTACAAATCCCATCAGTCACAAAGCTGAGCGTTATAAAAAATAATTATACAAGAATATCAGACAGACAGAGGGGGAACACAAATTCCCACAGACAAACAACAAAACAGGTCATGATGTATTATTGGTCTTCTCAAACCTCATGGAACGGATTTCATACATGATTCATCTGTAATCTTGATCATTATTTAGGTGTGCTGCCCTTCTGAACTCTGATTATGTTGTTTTACACTCTTAAGTTATTTGGTAAAATCCAGACAAGAAATTTGTGATTTTCAGATACAAAAACAGTCATAGAGAGCAGTCATTTAACAACCATCTATCAAGGCCGAGTTGTGTACAAACTGGTAAATAACTTCAGGGTCAGTTCCCCCAAACTACAAGAAAACATTTTCTAGCTTGCCCCTGTAGTCTCTAACCATGCAGATAAGTTTTTGTTAATTTGCTCAAGTTTAAAAAGATCTGTCTCTTGAGATTTCTGCTGCAACATAAACACAATAAAGGTGAATGGAATTTCATTTGTGGTCCTTAAAACATTGGAAAATTACATTTACAGCTACAGATCTTTTCAGAAACCGTTTCCTTGTTTGTTCCACTAGTTCTGATGAATACTGTTGACAGCTTGTTAGGTGGTTAATCTACAGTATTCAGGACACAGTTTCGGAAAGTCAAGCTGCCGATGAATATTTTAAATGTCATTTTCTCTACTGTGAGCGCCGCAAACAAAATTTAATTCACCTGAAAAAGGAGGCACAAATCTCAGAGACTGACATCTCCCAACCAGAAAAAACAGAAACTATCTGCACAGATATGTAAAAGAACAAGTTATAAAACATGTTTTTCTTAAATTTGGAGGAAGTGACCCTTTCACTAAAGACTTAAAAAAAAAAAAAAGTTGGATTTGTGTCTATATCCGGTCTAATTTCTCACTTAGGAACTCCTCCACGCTGTCTGTGTTCCACTTGAGGATGCTGAGTTCTTCAGCGATGTTCCCGTTATCGTCCAAAAGCTTTAGCACAGGATCTGAGCCTCTAACGTACTGCAGTGTGGGAGGGGGGTGAGAGAGAAAAAGAGGAGGAGTGTTAAGGAGGCAGGTTTAACCTCAATACAAATGAAAAATATTCAGAGAAATGTTTGTGAGTCATCTGATCAACATAATCTGATTTCCTACAAATCACTTTTTTTTTTCTAGATGAAGCTTAATGTGTCATGTGTAATCATGCGAGTATATCAGATATCATTCTGGTACAGCATCAACTCAATTCATCATCCCTACCTTGATCTGAAGACCCTTGAACATCTTCGGCTTTTCACTCCTGACAAAAGCTGAGGAGATAAAGACACTGGTGAGACAAATGTTGGGTAATGAATCAGTCAATTAGCCTTTCTATTTTAGTACTGAGGTCTGTAATTAGCGACAACTGCAAAACCTCCTGAGAATGCGGCGTTAAAAGCGGAGGAGACAGTTGAGAACACAGGATGCTACAGCTGAAGTAAACAAACGACAACCATATGGCACAGACAGGGCTCCAGACGTCTCCCCCCCATACTGAGGCGAGCTGCAGTAACTCCATCAACGTAACCTGACACTGAATTAACCAAATGTTACACCGAGCAGAGATGGGAGGTCTACTCCCAAGACACACAGGATAAAAAAACTTCAAAAGCTTGTTTGAAAACCAGCCCGCAGGCACTTTAGACCACCTACTGGAACAAGTGATTTCAAAAGGATATATTTTACACTCATCTCCATTGATTCAGACACAGAATAACCCAAGGCACAAGCTAATTTTGAGGAAAAAGCAGGTATTTCAAAACAAGATAGTGAAATTCACAGAAGAATCATATCCCAATAGAGAACTCACCTTGGACTTGAGGGAACCTCCCCAGTTTTCATCCACACACCTCGAGGATGGCGCCAGCATAAAGCTGTGTGCAAAGAAACACACTGTTAGGTAGCCCATGAGGAGGATTTCCCCCCACACACATCAATGCCCGCACACAGAGACAGAAAATACTGGCCCTGCTGGTGGTGGGAAGCCTGGCCTGGAGGAGTAATTTGATTCAGGCAGACTGATTCATAAACGTGTCCAGGCGACTCCTTGGGGGTCATTAAACTGAGAGCCTGTGCATATGGAGCAGGGCTGATGGATGGTGGTTTGTGCAGGGCTCACTTGTAATCAAACCTCCAGCACCAATACACAATAAGTTAGAGGAAATTGGAGTGTCGCAGCAGTATTTCAGACCCATGCTCTGCTCGCTGTTTTCAGGGAGGAGAGTGGTAAATGGTCTGGTCGCCTGGTTCACACAGCAAATTAAATTCAGCATGCAGCTAAGATCCTCTCCTCTTCCTCTCTTCCCTTGTGTTTCTGTAAACAATCCGGCACTGCTGTAATTAGATTTTTGTGCTTTTCCCTCACCGCACATGGCAGATCAGAGACAAGTCACAACACTACACTGTTGAAAACTGAAAGCTAGGTAACAAATGATAGCTGTCTCGACATGGACTCGTTGTGGAGTCATATATGGAGTATTTTAACATTTTTAAATGCCCTCAATTAGCGGGTCACCCTGTCTATAAGACTTCAATACCAAAAGCATGCATTAAAAGTATGACTTTCTCTGAGGCCCTGTTCAGACCTGGCATTCACATCTGTCTTGGGCGATCTGAACACAAGTGGTCAGCTTTAAGTACAGGTGTGATGCATTGAGGATGTATTTGAGATCTGATCACCCAGGAGGTGGTCTGGGCCACATGTGGCCACATTCTTTTAGCAGTGTGAACGCACACACTGTAAGACTGCCTACTCAACTGATGTCCTCTGCCACAGTCTAATTAGTCCCCCCCCTCCTCCCAGTTTCATAATGAACTGAAAATATTTTACTATTTCAAATGGCTAAAACCTTGTTTCATAGTACAGCTGTGTGCAGTGCAATCATTCACTCCTTGCTGTGCTCGATGCACGTGTGGAAACGTATTCTAATGCCAGATGTGGACTGACGTGCTTAGAGCTGTCCACTTGTGATTGGACCATGCTCTAGTCATTGCCAGGTCTGAACAGGGCCTATAACTCCATCAATGTATCGTCTGAATCTCTATGGAGCGCTATAAAACCTGCAGACAGAGGCAGAGATCAAATATGTTCACAACAGCCTTAAATGTTCAAACATAAAATGTAAATGATGTAGTAGTGTCAATAACAGAATAAACCAAACAGACGAGACAAAAGGTTACGAAGAAACAAAAGGTCCTGATAAAATATGAGCAGCAGCTGCTGCCCTTTTAAATCTAACAAAGACCTGTAATATTTGAGAGCACAATGAGGACTTTAAATGCCAATAGATGCTGTTTAAGGGATTTTATTTGTCTTAGTTCGTCTCCCAATAAATACAGGGTTTGCTGGTTCATTAAATTAAATTCAAATTCAGACCTCCATAATACCATAGAATGCAGTTTAATACATTTTTCATTGTCATACAACCAGTAGGGACAATAAAGCCTACAATTTATTATTATTATAACTTATTTATTTAAATAAGTTTCTTGACATGTCACGTTTCTGTCAGTAGTTCCCAGCTGTACATTATAATAATATTTCCTAATAATATAATCAATCTAGTAACTGACCTGGAAGCTGATAAGTGGCAGAAAATAGATGTATGGAGTAATCCATTTTTTTAAATTTATTTAATTTAGGTTCATTCAAGTCTTGAACGGCCTGCTGAATGCACAGTCTGTTTCATTTGTAATTTAAACATGTGTAATGTTTTCCCACAGCCTGCAACCACATCCAAAAAAGGTGAAATTTAAGACTTAATACTTTCCAAGGGCTGAGTTGAAAGTATTTAAAGACTTTTAACCTGCAGATCCACTGTAAATTTCTTACAGGTGGGAATAGTGTTAATCAAAAGTCAATGGTGCATTTTGTGAGGACTGTTTTCAGCTGGACAACTGTTTCTCAAGTAAGTTACATACGGCATTAGGATGGTGTTGGTTTGTTTTTGAACAGTGGAGCTCTCACAGAGTGATAAGCTATTGGGCCTTAGCCACACAGAAGACCCTTGTTAGTAGGATCACTGCATTGGTGGGAATGGTCTTTTCATGGGATTTATTAGCAAGAAGAAAAGTATAGAATATTGTCAGACCTATCCTTTAAGACTTTAAAAGGTTTTTCATTTTATTGTCACCAACCATACACCACATGGGCCTGAGAGACTCTCAGAAAGGCTTTCCCCCTCTACGGAGACATACAGTTAAGTGGCACCCACGGGAGCTGAGGTGCTGCCATGCGCGGGTGCTCAGCAGAGAAGCACACATTTGAAAATGAGTAACCGAAATGCCCTCCATGCTCAGTGAATCTTACTAATCGACTAGGCTGCGCAATACGCCATTTCTCAGGGGGTTTAATGACACGGCACTGATGTCAATTGCGAGACTCAAAGAATTCTTAAGGCAGATAATTGTTGCTGTCTGAGGAGAAAATGTGCTTAGTGACACTGTCATTTCTACTGGTACCCTCATAGTGCAGCTGGAGACAGCCAATTGCCCTTCTAAGTGACATTTTCACTCAAATCATGAGGAGCAAGGGGTAATCTCTCCTCTAAGAGTCTGTCTAAAGCAGAGTTATCATCAAGAGGTGTAATGAGGTGTGCACTGCACTTTTCCAAGGTGTTGTTGCTAGGATACCACACAAGCTCCGGGGGCTTTGCTTAATCAAAGAAAAATTACATTGTTTTCCACCATCACTTCAGTCAGTGTTTATCCGTCAGGGCACAGCAGGGAGTCCTTTTGAATTTCCTGTAATCACCAGAGCGATGAGCGCCCAGTAACACCTCTTCACTGGTTACAGAGAGGTTGTTACTGCAAAACTTGACATATCAACCCCACGGGAAGTGTCAAACTGGGGTTAAGGAGCCTCGACTCTGAACATGAGAGAGAAAGATTGACAGCTAGTGACAGAGTTTGTGTGGCAGCTCAAATCTGACGCACAGCAGCAAACAGTGTCAACAGACCCAGTGACAGGAAGACTCAAACTAGGTTGTTTTTAGTAGCAGTTCAAATGCTGGGGAATGTGACCCTGTCAATAAACGTGGTACTTTCTGACACCAGTCCTCAGAGTGCTACTACTACCCACTGAGGAGCCCATCCTCTGTCGATCTACAGTAAATGAGTAGAGACAGCGTAGAGATAAGCTCAAGACTCCACAATTAATGAACTGTTGTGCATCATCAGATTTATGAAATCTCAGTAATGCAGCACAAATGGTAAGTGCCTTTCATTTTCTCATTTTACTGCAGGCAAATTTGTTAACCTTGTTGCTGGTTACACTTCTTCTAGTCTCACTGAATCTCCTTTTAATGTCTTTGCAAGATGCTCCATGTTGTGACTGAATCTAGACAGGCAATTACTTTCTGTTTGTCTGTTTGGTGAGCTCTGTTGTTCCCTTTACCTTGCGCGCTTCCATCTGGGCTTCCTGCTGGCAGCACTCCCGGCAGTCAGGCTGGAGCTTGGTGAGGCTGAACTCCCCAAGCAGGTCACAGGAGCTGCACAGCAGGTTGCTGGAGAAGCCCAGCTCCCTGCATGCCTCCGACGACAGCTCGGCACCATATGCCGACAGCTGGAGAGAGGAGGGAGGAGATAAAAGGGATACAGAGGGTGAAAAAAATTATAGTGCTTGCTCACTCCTCATATACAGAAACACAGCCCGGAACCAAAATGGGTGACTGACTAAAAAGCCTGACATTAGGAACTTATACAGTATTCAGCATTTAAAAATGCAATGAAACACTGAAATGGAAACCAAAATGAAACGTGTGTATTACCATGAGAAAATTCTACAAAACAGTTGTGTGTTCAACACAACCAATGCAGGGTTTACTTTTTGGTGGCCTTAAGGACAGTAGTGCTGCAACTAAAATGTCAATGTCAAATCATCCATTAATCTACCAAGTTTTCTGTTCATTTAATTAAGAAAAGTTAAATCTAGAGACAAATGTCTGTCGCAAGTTACTCGATATTAACATTCATTTGATTTATGATAAAGGGAAAACACATGTAATACTATATAAACGTAATGCGGGTATTTTCACTTGATTTTTATTTGATGATTTGCTGATTGACTATTAATAATTTCAGCACAATTCGTTGTTACAAGAGATTTTATTGACTGATAAGAATATGGGTAAGCAGGTAGGCCAATTGACAGGATATTTTAGTCTGAAGTGTGTTCATCATCTTTACTACAGAACAACAAAGTACATAACTACTTTTGAAAATGTCCAAATGACAGTGAATAACAGGAGACTCAGATGCTGTTGCTGGGTAGTTTGTTTGGTCACCTTTTCTTGGACATGCAAGTTAATAAAGACGCGCCCAAGTAATGTTAACACGAGCTCTTTCGCTTTCAGGATATACTCTATCCTTGCTAATACGGCTGCCCTATAACTTTAACGTTTGCTTGATATATAATATTTTGACTACAGACGTTTAGGATTCACCTAATTGAGCAGGGCACAGGTTTTGAGGGGGATAAGTAAAGACAGTTAGCTGAGACAAAACACCGAGGAAGCTTCACTTCACCATCAAGACTCATAGCTTCTGAGGTTAAGCCACGTCATTTTGAAGCTGCGGGCAAAGCAGGATGCGGCTCACAAAACTGCACGTAACGTTAGACAGCTGAGAGATTCGCCACCCGTTCATGTTAATTACAAAGCACTTTAGAAAGCGGCGACAATTGCTCGTTTTTGTATTAATAAACTCACCGTTTGTAAAAGCGAGAGGAGCCACAGGAGATACACCTCTCCCGACATTTTGGAGCCTGCTTTGTTAGTGAAACCCGCTTCGAGGACCCCTGTTTTTTACTGAAGGGAAACCTCGTCGCGCCTGACCGTTAAGAGACATAACTGACACATTCTGTTTTAAATCAACGTCGACGTCTGCTGAACTAAAATCCTACGTGAGTGTTATATACATATATTTACAAATATATGACAGATTAAGACTAGTTTCATTTAATTTTATGTTACTTGAGTTTTGGCATATGCCAAGGTCGACTTGTATTTTCTTCCTCGCTTCTACTGTTGTCGTGGTTCGAGAAAGAAGTGCGACATCTGCTGTCGGAGTTCAGGTCTGTTTGTTAATCGGGTCCAATCCGGGTTGAACAGACAGTGATGGTCGACGAATAGAAAGCCTCCGCTGCGTGGTGGACTGCTCAGACATCCAATGGCCTGACTGGTAGTAATAGTCTGTCCGTGGTGCGGTGGTGAACACACTGGATGGGACAGGACAGCGCTACATGGGGGACGCAGGCAACAGTGGCTGGTACCACCGCTCCTACACCTCGGGGGGACAAATCCGCTCTGTTGGGAAATCTCTAGGGCTTTGCGACGCTCCGCTGTTGGAAATTGACTTGATGAAATCACCAAGCCGAGTATGAACACTTCGCATTTGAGGTAACCAGAGGATTTGAATTAGAGTACTTGAGATATCCACACACAGAGAGGGAGAGAGGGCCATGTACAGACACTCAGCCGCTTTGTAATCACCGTCGTCGCTGTGTGTGTGTTTTCAGTGTCTCCTCTGAGCATGGACTGACCAAATCCCTCTCTGGATGATTTGATGGGGCTGCTCAGAGTCATGATGCCGCCCAAGTTGCAGCTTCTGGCGCTGCTAGCGTTTGCAGTGGCCATGTTCTTCCTGGAGAACCAGATCCAGAAGCTGGAGGAGTCCCGGGGAAAGCTAGGTAAGTTTAAACGGATCAAGCCCGATCCCATCCCGTCTCAGCACTCCAAGAACACCGCAGGCTGTGTGTGAGGTCTCTCTCTTTGGTCACTATAGATCGGTGCATTCCCATTGTTGTGCATTTGGGTCAGCAAGAGGCTGAGTGCTGAGAGAGCAGCACTTCATCCACCACACATGCTTCATCATATGGTTCAGACAATGGCACACGGTCATGAAATGTTTCAGGATGTGGAAACTGTCCTACTGAACTTTGAATGACTGTGAGACTAAAATGTTGCAACTATTCCGAACATTTGTAGTAATTTAATGCCTACCGTCTACCTCTCATCCTAATCTGTGCAATGCAGTGTGAGATTTAGGATGCTGCTGTTTTCAGCCGGTTACCCTGTGACAGGGAGTGGGTGAGTGTTGTATACTTTAGGGACAATTATTTTCTGGATTAAGCAACTGATTGTTTGGTTTCTACGACGACAGAAAATAATGTAAAATGCCCATTAGAGTTTCCTAAATCCCGATGTGACATTTCCAGATGTCTGTCAGACCCACAGTCTAACCCCCCCCCCCCAGAAATTACATTCACAGTGATATTGTAATCATGAAAAAAACAGCAAATCCTCCCATTTTAGAAACTGGGACTGCTTAAAATTACATAAGCAATTAATTGATCATTAAAATAGTTGTGGGTTCATTTTCTGTCAGTCCATTGATGACTCGCCTAATTGTTTCAGCTCTGGTGCACTTGCATGCAAATGGGATGAGAAATCAACAGTTCATTTATAAGACATGAAATGGAGCTGGGTCAGGGTGGTGGTTCTTGAGTCGGACTGTAAGGTGGGATGGTCAGTGAGGAATATATTTCAATGCTCACTGAACATCAGAAAACATCTCTTTGGTCAAAGTAATTTTTTGGAATATATTCTGCATGCATGGGGACACCACACTGCTGCAAATCCTCTCCTGCCCCCTTACCAAACTCTTTCCTCTGATTGAAATGTGGCCGACACTGTGTTCAAATCTCATTGCTAGCTCCCATCAGGGGCTCAGCCCCAATAAAGATCTGGGACATTGCAGGATTATCTCTCTGGTGCCTCCGCTGTGGGGATTTTTAAGGAACAGCAGAGCAATGCAGACACCCTGGAGGTGCAGCCAGTGCACCTTAGGGGCTCACACCACTTCTTGTATCATTTTATGAGAGTGGGTGCTTGGCACTGTAGAGAGGGCAGCTGATAAACCCTTTTCACTGCAGACATTTTGACATGTTATAGCAGGAAAAGCACATGTGCCATTAATAACATTAAAAATGGCTACAGTGATTTCTATTTATGTGAAGCAGATCCAGGGTCTTTGGTATTGTGTACGCTGGCTCACTCTAACTGCGCACATGGACACTTAACGGAACAGAGAAATCATCATTGTTATTAGTAACACTTGTGCTTTTTCTGCTATGACAAGTGAAAACGTCTGCTACGGCATTTTTTAAAGTCACTGCACAACCACACAGGTGTTATTCTGGCTGATTAGGGTGAAGCTGGGTGGAGCTATGCTGGGAAAATCTGAGGTCACCAAACTCATTTTAAGAATCATAAGGGTGTAAGTTGTCCCATCTTAAGAGGTGCAACAACACAAACAGGAGAGTCAGGGAACTATCACTCAAACACAGCCTGTACAGACACATGCAGAGGTCTAATTACCAAATTAAGTGAAAACACCTGTGTGGGGCCTTTGAAGTTAATCCTGGAGTCGCTGCTAACCACTGCTGTCATTACTGATTAATATGTTTAGTCTTTTTCAGTCAGTTGTTTTGTTTATAAAATGTCAGATAGCGACGATAACAAAAATATTTAGAGTCATCACCTTGGACCCCAGGAAGTAGCAATGACCATTTTCACTATTTTCAGATGTTTTGTAGACTAAACAATTAATCAAGAAAATAATAGGTAGGTTAATTGATAATGAAAATAATCTTTAATTACAGCCATAATTAAATTTACAGTGATATAAAATGGTGGTAAGTGACAGTCAGTGATCAAAATTGTTGCAGACCAATTGTTAATCGACTAATCAATGAATCAACGATCAATCGATCTTTGAATCCCTTTGTGGTTAAATTTTGTCAATCAACTTATCAATTAATCTGCTAACAACGTGTCGGCACTGGTTTACGGCCTTAGATAGATGTCAGGCTTCTGTTACTGGGACTAGACCTAAGACAATTGATTGATTAGTTAACTGACAAAAAATTAATGAGAATCAATTTTGATGGTCAAGTAACTGATTTAGAAATTTTTGAAGCAAAAACGACAAAAAATCATCACCTCTCAAATGTGAATACTTGCTGCTTGTCTTTGTTGTGGACCAAACAAGGAATTTAAATGTAAGCCTTACTGTTGGAAATTGTAATGGACATTTTTCATTATTTTCTGACATTGTGTAGATCAACAGCAAATTACTTGGTTAGAAGTTTAAAAGCACCAATCCTGTGGTTTACAGATAGGCGATTAATAGACAGACTTTTTCACATGAGTCAAAGATGAGGCTGTGTTGGGGAGTTTCCAGGCCAGATTGTGAATAAAATGGTTGACAGTCATCTTAAGTGAATAAAGTATCCCAACGTAGATTTCATATGTTGGAATAATCAGGGGTCCTGGGGGGTATATATGGCTATATTGGCCTTTCATATGGTTTACTGCTGCTCTAAAAGTGCTATACTTTACACCCTGTGAAAATCAAAACTCCTTTCACACACACACACACATACAAAATACACACACACCCTCCCGATGCTGAAATAGAACCTGAGAGGCCTTTCCCCTGACTGTCCACCACCACGAGAATCTGTTGACTTGGCAAAAAGCGCTCTGATGGATGACTGGACTGAGCAGACGTCTGTATACTGGAGCTCTGAATTATGTGCTGCATAGCCAAATAGTTGTGACTGAGGCTTTCACAGGCACGATGCTGACAGACAGCCACAGGGCTGGTCACATTACCAGGTATGCCTGCTGCAGGTCCATCTGTGCAACCATAAAAAGCAGCGTAACAATCACAACAAGGACAGGTGGTGTCCAAACTCAAATCAAGACACCGAGAATAACACTTACGTGATAACCATGAGAAACACTTTTGGAAGAAGCAGTTCTATACGTCACCTTTCTATATCATGTTCTCACATGTTCACAATTAACTTCACGTAAACTGGAATGGCCAGCACCCTCTCCTCACAGAGTGGGATCCTATTGCCCGACATGTAGGTTGAATCATTTCCCCCATTAGACACCTCCCACAGGGAAGACAAGCTGTGATTTGCTTCCAAGCTAATCGCTGTCCCAAGGTTTCACTGAGAAGTCTCCTGCATTACAATCGTGCCGTGATGCAGCTGTGTGTCCTGCTGTGGACCTAATCCATTATTCTGACAGTATTTCTCTCTGGCTGCTCACCGGCTCTGCTGCCGGCTGGGTCAACAGTAATGCAGACTGTGGAGGGATGGATGGATAGATGAAAATAAATTTTCTTTAATAAAGAGCCCGGACGGAGATTCAAGGCCACTTTCCCTGGCAGGGTTGTCATTAACTCTCTCTCAATTCTGGTAATTTCAGACACTCACCTTGCAGAACTTCATGCTACTTCGCTCTGAGGTCTAAGACTGACATTCCAGGGTAATGTGTCATTGACGTCAAACACGAGACGGATGCCTGAATTTGATTCAGCAGTGATTAGATCTTCTCAAGCAGCTGAGAAAATTTGATCAGTTGGTTAAAAGTGAAGCCAACACAGATGAAGTTTCCCAACTCATTTGTGTTGAAACAGCACTTAAAGGCCATAACCAGAAGGATTGGACAGTTGAAAAGAATTATCATGTCAAACTAAAAGCCTCACTTGAGCCCGGTTGAATTTGTGAATAGCTTCATGCAAAGGAATCATCTAAAATATCTTCACAAATTTTCTTTGGTATGTGCAAATTAATTTGACATTGATTGTTTTTGATGTACAAAGCTGACACTTGTGTCTTGAGACTTTAGGATGACACCTGGTATCGCTTAAGAATAAGCTTAGTAAAGATGATAATAACACCAGTGTAGGGAAAGTATTTTAATGAAAGCATACTAGGATACCATTTCTTTCAATTGTGGTTCTGAAACAACCTTTTTTTTCTGATTCCTGTCTTTTCTGGCTGAAAGCGCGTTCATTACACAGTTGAGTGCATCATTATTTGTGTAACACCTGTGCTTGCTACCTGCTTTTATAGATTCAAGCCAAGCTGAACTTATTTCCTCAGGGACAATATTCATAAACACAAAGAAAACCTTAGTTTTCATTCTAGGAATTGCAGCTTTTTGAACCTTTTTGATGCTTTAAAATCAGCACAAAACAAATCTTGTAGTAATAGGTGGCAGGTTAATTCTAGAGGGGAGTTATGGTATATTGAAAGCTGCGTAAATAGAAACATTGCTTATAAAACTGTCACCTCATGGCCCTTGTAACAGGAGCAAATGACCTCTTCACCTTTCTGCCCTTCAGGCTATGTGAGGACTGTGTGTCACCCAGCAGCATAGATATTCAGAGACTTCTTTTCCCCTCAGCATCATTTCCTTTTATCTGCTGGCCATTATTCAGACTGATTAAAGGAATTCAATTTCCATCTGTTGCGCAGTGATATTTAGTTCCAGACACAAGCGGCTCTGTGATGAGCTCTGAAAGAGAAGAGTGATGCTGTTGAATGTAGAAGAAGGAAGAGATGCATGCGCTCATTGTCAAAGTTTTTGCAGAGCTGACGCAAGATTTTTAAGCATTCATTTATCACTGCAGCCCATTGCTCCCAGGCCTGTGTTTGAATATGATTTTGATTGTCATGCTGGGCACTCACAGCCTCGAGCCCACCCTCACGCTGCTGCTGAGGGACCTGGGGATCTGGTCAGGAATTTGCTCTTGAAAGGACATCGGTCAGGCATCGCTAGTCTGTCCTCAGACTTGCATGGACCACTGTATTCCTTCGAGCCTCTA